AATAGAGGGCTGCACAGTTCTTGCTGGTGTACAATGAATGTTGCTGTCCACTGTATGGAAATATCTGCAAGTTGAATTAGGGTTGCTCTGGCACTGAAGCTGTTTTGCAAGAAGACTCAGCCTGGTGCTGCCGATGTTTTGAGGAGATGCAAGCCAGCGCTGAACCAGAGGCTCTCCAGGCACAGCTGAGGTGGTGCCGTGTCCCAGTGTTCTTTAATACAATATACTAATGTAATTTAATATAGTGCTGATGTTTATTTCCTGCTCCCTTCCTCAGAAAAGCAGGCTAACAAGCACCTGGTAGGCCTCAAGCATTACCTGTTCCCCAGCTCTCCAGTTGATGAGACGCCCCCGTGAAGGGCTGCACTGGTGCTTCTCTTTGAGCAGGGGCTATGCAGCCAGAGGGGCATTTCCCTGCAAAGACTGCATAGTTTCAGGTTGCCTTGACTTTTCCGTTGACGTTCTCTCCTGGTGGACTGCTTCAAGGAAAAATAAACATGTAGGGCTCAGTTGTTCTCCCATGGACTTCTTTGACTGGGGATCACAATCTTGTCTTTTGGTAGCCTGCTCACCCCACTATTGGATTTGTGGAATTGCTGTGGTCCTATTCTGCTAGATAACACAGACAATCAAAAGCTTAGCCCTGGCCAAAAAAATTTATAATCTGAATGGTAGAGAGGTGATAACACCTGGAACACAGACTCGGATTCATTGAGATTGTTAGGAACAAACAAGCAGGATTCATCATCCATCAGCTATCTAGCTACTGACGCTTGCTTTGTCCTGTATACACTTCCCATTCATTGTATTCTGGTTAGTGAGAGAGCCATGCTCCGGTGCATTCAGGAATAATGATAATATTAAATTTTCACTTTTGAGGAAAGAACGTTATGAAGGCAATTGTTTTTTATTTTTTTCTAAACCTCAATAAGTGTTATGCCTGTAGGTTATATCAACAGGGATGACCTATCTTCCCTAGCTCCAAATAAAAGTTCAGTTGTAAAATGGTAATTCTCTTCCTCCCTCCCCACTTAACTTTTAGTGTTTACATATAAGGTAATTGGATCTTTTCACACATCTTTATCCTCCATCTGTTTTTTTTTTTTTTACAAGAAGAAAATCCAGGCTTGCAAAGCAGATGGACGGTATAGCACTACCTGGCCAGGGCTCTTAACTAGGATGACTGGTATTCAGGGTGCACCACGGCATGTATTCAGTGCTCAGTCGGAGTGCAGGTTTGATGACATACACATTTTAATTTTTCCTGTGAGCTGAGTTCACCCAGAAGAAGAAGAAAAAATTGTGTTCTGGAATAGCTGGTATGCGGTGTACTACTGAGAGATCACTTGCAATTACTGAGAAATGCTGTGGCTGAAAAAACTTTTTAAAGAAAGGACCATAGCCAGTTCTGAAAAGATGCTACAGTTCTGTATAGTCAGATGTAGACATGATAGCTTCAATGCTTGTGTTTGCTTCACAGTAAGTATTATAGCTCTTCTTTTGTCCTTACCTGGCAGCTTTGGAATAGGATAAAGATTTTTCCAGTGGTTGTTTTGAATTGTGTTCCACTATTGTTTGATAGCATCATTAGCTGAAACCTTAGCCATGAAGTCAAAGTGAAGCCAGGCATGAGGAAAATCTTCAGTACTGCAGGCCAACAATAAGGGCAATGTGACTTTGAACTATTGTTTAACGAATGAAGGGCACAGTTTTGCCATTCTTGTATCAGAGGAGATTGTGATCCTCCTTCCATTAGCTCAATAGTGTTATGGTGAGGTTAAAAAGATCAGCAGCAAGCCAGATGATACTTCACTTCTGAAGTAGTCTTGCCAAAGGAAGCAGGACAATTTAGTTACTACCACTTAATCTTAGCAAAGAGAAAAAACGAAACAAAAAAAAAGAAAAAGCACCAAAAGGCAAACAATTAGGTCATAACCAGATATATTTCTCATAAATGTCTCCAAAGGCACAAGCAGCAGTGCTTCTGATGCAAGGGCTTCCATATTTATTTAAATTCTGAACAAGTTATATTTGTAATATTATAAGGGATCAGTAAATGTATATAGCTCTTTGCACCTTCTCCGAGGAATAGACCAGAACATATTAAAAGTGTAATTTCCTAACAATTTAGACTTTGGAGTAGAGGTGAATAGGGGAATGAAGGAAGGGAAGACGGGAGAATACTGTATTGCAAGAACTAGTATTTACTCCTTTCAGACAGGAGTCTTGTGATGGCAAATATGCTTAACTTTGTCCAGCTGAGACTCAGATTGTGTGCAATTACAGTTAAGGGTGAGGCAGCCGTTGACTTTAGCAGTAAGAAGATTAGCTTTGCAAATTGCCCTTTCTTTGCAGTGAGTGCAGCTACTCACATGCCTGACTTAGAGAGATGCACTGTGCAGGCACTTTTAAGGATCAGGGCCCTGCCTAGGTTGGGGAGGTTGCCATCAAACAGCATCAACTCATAATTCTCTTTTGAAATACAAGCTGTTCAGTTCACACTAATCACATGAATTTCATAATACTTCTCTAGCTGACTGTCTGGGACATTAAAGAAAAAGTAATTAGTCCACATCCTTTTGCTTTTTCTGAGATTACTCTTCTCATTCACTAAAAATCTTTCTTTGCCAAAAGATTTTTTTTAACTCGAGGCTTTCCATAAGCCTCGAGTTTCACTAAACATTTCACTAAAACATGTTTCACTAAAACATTTTTACAGTAAATGCAGAATAAGGACCTAAAAAAAAATAGCAATTTTTCTTTATTACTACTTTGGTAATGTTAAGTCACTGAACATATCATTCATGTTTAATATATTATTTATTTTCCGTAGTAAATTACGAGTAAAAATAAGCAGTAGCAGTTTTCTTACCATTTAGCAAAATAGTATCCAAAATGTTTAGCTAGTGGAACATAATTAAAGATTGTATCAGGCAGAGACAAAAAAGAGTTGAGTTAAAGAACATAACAACCTTATTCTTACATTTTGTAACATGCGAGAGCTTGATTTTATGGCTTTCTTTTAATGTAGCTTGTGTAAGTGATTTTCTTTGCAAAAATTGGAGGGGGGAAGACCCCAAAACATCATAGTAATGCTTACATGACATGGGCACGTGGGGGCTGAAAGCTTTAGGCTCACCATAGGAGCCTCAGCCCCTTCAAGGAGAGGTGTGTTTGATTGCAGCAATAGCTTGTTCCCTGCATGTGGAGCAGCGCAAGAGCAGACCTGTTTGGTGATTTCAGCAGCAGCTGCAGGCAGGGAGGATTTAGGAAGCCGGGGTATCATTCGGCAACCCCAGGGGCCACCAAAATTGCCCTAAACCTGTCTCTTTCCTCCCATTTCTTTCTTTTTTCTTTCTTTTTTTCTTTTTTCTTTTTTGGTCCTGGAGATCTGCTCATGAAAAACAGGAGTTGGGAGTCCTGTACTCTTCCTAGTCACTGTGTGAAGACTGCTGGGGGGACAGAGGTGAGCCAAGGAAGAAAGGACCGGAGAGGGGGACAGGTCCAGCGCATGATGTGAAGAGCACCGAGAGCAAGTGAAACCAGAGGTAGGAGAGCCATGTCCTGCAGTTATACCTGTAGAACTGGTAAGGAACCCGTTTTGCAGGTCTTGGTAGTTGCCCTAGTAGAGGTCCTGATTTTTTTGTGTGTCCTTCAGCTGTCCACAACAGAAAATCTGCCTAATGGGAAATGGCATATTTGCAAGTTAATCATTAGAAAAAGTTCTGGAGCACATTGTTGCTTGCTTGCCTACATGCTTTTTATTTATTTCAGTCAACTTGCGAGGTATCTGATGGCCCACAAAGGCTGAGGGGCCTAGACATACACCATAAAGACACAAGGTTGTGTGTCTGCCCTGGGAGGAGGGCTGTAACCAGTGTTTGGCCAGAGAGTTGTTTCACCTCAGCTGTGCATCTGCTCAGGCCCGTGTCCTGCCCTCGTCCCCAGCACTGAAAGTTGTGTTACGCTGGGGTTTTGGCTGCAGCAGCTCTTACCAAATCCAGAACAACTTGTGTGATTATCAGTACTGTCATAGCCATTTCAGAGAGGGTTTAAAAAATGCACTAAACTGAAAGCACCGTTGTGCTGGAATAGCCGGAAAATGTCCGTGGGACATAGTGCTGCCTTCCTTCCCGCTCCCGTCTCCCAGATACCAGAGCTTTGTTAAAACACACTACTCAACAAGTTAAGTCTAGAAACATCATAGTACATGGATTTGAATGCAAACTGCAGTTTTTCCATCAGCTGAATAATATAATACCTGTATTTGTTCAGTAAGGATGTGAATGGGCTGCTGTGAAAGTAACTTACGATGACAAGCTCTGACTGCCAGGCGGTACCGTTTATATTAGGTCACTGCTCTCCTCAGTGCCTGAGACAAATATCGGATTCATTGGTGGATCTTTCAGCCGGAGGGTAGAAAGACAGCTCTGTCAAAATGACTTTGCTGCGGAACATTTTCTAGTAGTTCCAGAATGTGAAATCTAGTTTATTAATTGAATCATATCAGCAAATGCTCTGCAGAAACCAGCATGGCTGAAATATGTTTCAGTTAAACAAGATTAAAGAACATGACAAAAGTTTGTATAGGAGGCCTTAACCCAAATTTCCTGTAAAGGGTGCTGCTTGTTATTTTTCAAAATAGGCTGAATGTATTTTCTTCATATCTTTTTTTTTATGGCCTGTGGGAGCAATTGTAAAGCTGAAGCATACAAAGGCATAAGGAAAAAATAACGACAACACAAGAGAAGCTTCCATATCCTGAACTTATTATCTATCCCATGAAAGAGTAGAGCAGCGGAAATTTGGCCAAATTTTCTCCAAAAGGGACAAATACTTAAGAGTCTTTGCTTAAACGTTTGCTGAATATTTGTGCAAATACTTTTTAGAGCTAAAAGACACACAAAGAGAAATAAATCCTACCTTAATATGTGCAAAGGAAAATGGGATGAAAGAAGCTATTAATTAGCAACATGTGGCAGAGAATATTGTCCTATGACTTTTTTTTTTTTTTGAATAACTGAAAACAGTGCATGGTCCTACAGCATATGATCCTACAGCACATGGTCCTACACAATCCTACAGTTTGCTCGATGGTGGGTCATTATAATGCAGTGAACCTGTATTTTTAAACCAATTCTTTAATAGGAAAGCTATTGCCGGAGCCACAGCAGTTAACAGTGTAGCCACAGGTAGGCAGCTGGGTGCCACCTCCAGCTGGTCACCCTTGTAACCTGGGCTCTGAGTCCCCAGCACACCGCTGCCTTTCCTTTCAAAACTTGGTGCCGCTGTTGTGTTTTTGTGCCGATCTTCGCTTCCTTCTGGAGCCTGAGGTTGTTAATGTATAGCGCTCTCTCCCCACAAGAAATCGGTCTTTGTGGCTAGCCTGTTGCAGACCACTGGTCTTTAAGACTCGTTTGAATGTTTCCAGAGAATCCACAGATCCTGAAATACTAGTTCAAATATTGGCACCTAATAAAATCCGCACTGTTTGAGGTTGCCATCATTTTGAACCTCGATGCTACTGCGGTACCCGGACACTGCCTCACTTGACTTCGACCTGGTCTCCTCATTCTCGTCTAGTTACTGTTGGAGGCGGACTTGTCTGCGGCCCCTTGCTGCCTTCCCACTGCCGGATAGCATTATTTGGGTTGCTCCCGCACTTTTTTCTTGCCCTTTTCTGCCACACCAGAAAAAGGGGGAGGGGGCGCTTTCTGAGTCCTCCCTTCTTACAGCAAGGCGCTGTCTAGGAGTACAATCTCTAAACCATTTCTTCATGGGTGTCTTTGGTTTCAGCTCCCCTTCTGTCACCGCTCCATACCTGTCTCATGCCATCTGTGCAACACTGCGCTTTGATCTGATGCTATTGCTTGCCAAGCCTGCTGGGGCAGGACCAGCACCTCCACGCAGCATGCAGAAATCTTCAGATGAGCTGTCTCTTGCCAGATATCTTCTCCTGCCTGATAGGACTGACTCCAAACTCAAGTATCCACATTTCACAGCTCATTTCTGAAAAACTCTAGTCCTCTAGAGTTTCGAGTAAATCCTGAAATTTGGGGTGGGAGGGGTGAACAAACAGACAAAGCACGTGTAACCAAAAGTTGTATGAAAATCAGTTACCAGGGATCCAAACGCAGGCCTCGCTGGTGTGCGAACAAGGCAGCTAGCAAGGAGCCGGATACCATTAGCCCAGAAATATCGAAGTTAGGGAGAGCTATTATCACAGAGTTCTCTTTGAATTTTTGAAATCGCCTGTTTCTTATGAGCTGCACTACAGAAAGTATGCTGAACTTTTATTTCCAGCTGTAACAGGGATTTTTTTCTGCCCTTTTAATACCAATCAAAAGCTCTGCTATACACTCTCTCCAGTAGGAAAAATGGGGATAATAGCTCCCTACCTCGATAGCAGGTTCAGGTTTAAATTTAGTAGCTGCTTTTAGAAAATATTTCAGGATTCTTGGACAGAAAGTTTTGTGTGAGTACTTCTGGCTATCATTACTGTCTCCTTAGGGATGAGGAAAGTCTCTACTAAATATTCAGGATAAGAATAGCAGCAAAAGAGGCCTGATACTGCACTTGTGTGCGGGATGGATGAGATGAATGTCACCTCCCTCCTATTTTCCCTCACAAATCCTCTCTCCCTCATTCTCTCTGTTGGTGGTGGTGGTTTTTCCCCTCCGGGATTTTCATAAGGAGTGGTGATTTTCACCTGAAATAAAATGGGCGAAATGTCTTCAGTAATAGGTATTGCATCCAGGAAGGTCCAGCTATGAAAACAAGCTGGCTAAACTTTTCATACCATCCTTTCCTCTCAACAGAAAGGACTTTGGATTTTATGCATAACAAAAGTTTTGGTCCGCAATGGTGAGAAAGTTGCTTGTATTTCTTGTATTGCTGTAGGTGATTTTAATTTCAGGAAAAACTGCACTGCACACACACATGCACAAAATCCCTAGTGGAAACCATCTAAAGAAAATGTAATTTTACCTTAATAAAAAGGTAAGATAACTTGGCCTCTTGGCAAATCCCTGTTTGGCAATGCGGGAACACTCTGGGTGCTTGGAATTCACTGCTATTGTCCCCTATGTGAATTGCTTTGAAAAAGGTCACATGAGGAGGAAAGGAAGTTTTGACTTTCACATGCCTGTTATTGCTAAGGAAACCACTTCCTTGGTATTCACATATTCAGCATGTCTCCAGTTTTGGCTCTCTGACAAATGACATCGTGCTACTGCATCAAGTAACAAAGAAGGGTGGAGAATGCTGTTAGATAACTTGACGTGTTTTAAAGACCAATACCATTTTTGTAGGACTGCCAAACTTCAAGTGTGCTCCGTAAAAGCAAGCAGAGCTTACTTGTAAGCTGCAAATGAGATAACTGGGGTTCAGAAATACAGAAAAAGGGCTCTGGTCTACATCTAACTGAGCTCAGGTATTTCTGAAATTTATTAAGTTGTAGCAATGGCAATGTTCTTGCAGCGTTTGAGATATTGGGAGACCAGTTTTCAAATACAAATACTTGAATTATTTTCTTTGTAGAATTTATTTCAGCTTTCAAATACATACTTGCCTCTGTTTAGGCATTCAGATATGAAGTGGAGTATCCAAACATGTCATCTGGTGATTTCATTAAAAGCACTTGTGTTTGAACTTTGAGGCTCAGGGCTTTTCCCATTTTTTCCGACTTCTAACTCAAACAAGGAAATAGAAAGAGATACGAGCTATCATTGGTTATGGCCGAGACTCTCCCCTAACTTTTTCTGTTTTTCAGAGCGAAGTAAAATTCCTTTAAAGTAACACATTTGCAGATCTCAATGTGACAACAAGAAACTATCATAAATATCTTTTTTATTTCTGCTTTAGGAAGAAAAAAAGTCTGGTATGCTTCAGGCATACTTCAGTGAGTTTCCCTGTAAATATATAGTGGTTACTGAGATTACTAGGACCAAGCATGAGGCACACACAAATCACATAAACTGAACAGCTAAAGCCCTGCTCAATTTACTGAGAGTCCACTATGCTTTTGATATGTCAAGATCTATTTGTCTGAATGTTATTTGTAAAAGCAACATAATGTAGTGAACTGAGCCTGGGACTGTGGAGGCCAGAAATCAATATTTTAATCCTGACCCTGCCTCAGATACATTCTGCAGCCCTAGCGTAGTGGTTTAATCTCCTTGCATGTGCACCGGAGCAAAACTGCTCAAATATAATAAACTCTGTAGTCCACTGAAGAGTTGTACAGATCAGTTCACAGCTTTTTAGCTCCTCTGAAGATGTGAATCATACATAAATACTACCCTTACATGCAAGACTTGCTCAGGTTTGTCTCCAGGAAAATATTTACCTTGCATTGCTGGATCTGAAATCTCAGATCTATCTCTAATAAACTTGCACTAGCCCCGTGGAGATTCCCAACAGCCTGGTGGCAGCACAGATGTTCTCACTTTTAAAACTATCTGTCACAATAATGTCCTTTTTCTTTTCTCAAATATATAAACATAAAATTATTTAAAAAATAATTCATACACTTTCACTCAGAGAGTGTCCTGTCCTCACTTTTTTCATGCAGTCAGCAATAGGAATAGACCATTCTGCAACCAAAGTTCTTTACTCTGCAGAAATAGCAGAGATAAGGACTCATGGCCTGTTTATTCAGAAGTAAGACCAGGTAATAACTGTGATTCCTTCCAGCTTCAAATCCTTGAAAACGTGCCAGATTTAATTTTCTACCGATTTTACCTAGTAATGAAGATATTTCTGAATGACCACCTTACTAGAGGCCTAGCTGAGTCATATTCATTCCCAAGGGCCTTGACAGGGTCCTCCCTTGGCAGGGTCCTCCCCTGGGGGGAGAGAATAGCTATATAAACACTCCTGAGTAAGCCACAATAAGTTTTTTCAATTTTTGTTGTTGTTTTTTAAGAAAAACTTACCTTATATGGAAAATGAGAGAAATACTGAAAATGTTTGTCTCATGGAAGAGAGAGATTGCCGAGTTCCAAGGACATGAGAGTACTCATGACCCAGGAAAGGGTGCCCTTTTCACAGCTCGAAAGTTTCTTATTTGTTCTAAAAACTGCCTGTGAGTAGACATTTGAAAGTCGCTAAGAAAAAGCCAGTGCTAAAACAATAGGATCTACATTTACTGCTATGCACATCAGTTTTGCAGTCATTCGTACTTGCAGGAATTAGTCCAACACCTTTAACAGCTTTTTTGTTTTTTTAAACCTCCCTTATTAGTCAGCCTTCTTAGTTCTGTTGTAATACAGTTGTCATCGCCAGCTGTGGTTTGAAGGCGGTAGCTAGATCCAAACTTATACAAGGTTTGGAGTATCAGCAGAAAAATCATTACATATTCGCCATATTCAATGGGCAGCCAACATACAAAACGGTGCAGCGGGCTGATGTATTCGTGGCAATGCGGGTTGCTAAGCGCATCGGCTGCTATGTTGCTAAGCAGGCAGGACAGGGCACGGCCATTAAGCCACGTTGCAGCCGGGTATTTTAGAAGCTCCATGCTACCAGCATTTACATAGCTCAAGTTGTAGTAAAACACTAGCAGAAAAGGGTCAAAAGTGCAGTGCTTGAGGGCTACAGCACATGCTGACTGCAACATAGCGGATAACATTCTGAGCAGAAAGGGACTTGCTCAGGAACTGCAAGAAAACTAGAACCACTTAAACTAAGAATTTCAGAGGTCGAAAGGCAAGCACATTAAAAATACCACGAGTTAAAGCACATATGGCCAGGTCTAGCAAAGCTCATTTACTGAAAGGCTGCTGGGTATTTATGCGCCCCCGGTAAACTGCAAGTAAGGAGTGCAGTGGAGAGTAAGAGCCCCTCGTTCTTGGTTTACATGTCTAAACCAAAATGTCTCTTCACTTATCCATACCTGTGTGATCTTTGATTGTCTCATGTGAACCATCTGGCATCTGTTTATTTCCTTGTGTATGGATTTAACTGTTTTCCCAGGCACCGTCTTCACTTCGACATTGTCTGAGATGAGACTGCTGCCTTCCACACAGTGTTACTTTCCATAGCACCCTTCCCACCCGTTAGCTTTCCTCTCTCATTAGCCAGGGAAGTTTGAAGACTCCCAGAGATGCTGACTGCAGACACGCAGGCCCACGTCTGATTTCACTTACTCGAGTGCAATCAGGGACTTCAGTGACTGTGCCTCTAATTCATACTGACGTAACCAAGATTGAAATCTGTCCCACAGCAAATATTTATCAGAGCAAATCAAAGGCAAAGCATAGCCGAAGAGAAACAAGCAAAACAGTGAGGGCCATTAAGCTCTGCCAAGACAGATTTCAAAGTCAATGAAAACCACCCCAGAGACACAGAGCTAAAATGTAGGACAAAGCAGAACACTGAAAAAACAAAAACAAATTTCTAAACAGTAATGCCCTGCATCTCTCACAGAGCAGTTTTTACTTACTCACAACTAGCAAAGATTAAGCAGGAAAATCTAAATGGAGCTAACAATTTATGACTAACGTCAATGATCACTGTGTTTCTGCTTTTGTTCACAACTTCACTTCTATTGTACGTAGTCCATTTGCCAGTCAGAAACCTTTTCTGCAGAGGAGTGGGGTAGGGAGGGGAAAAAAACCATACACAATTGGTATCATAAACAATATAAAATAATAGGATGCCACATTTTAATTAGATAATTAAAACTCTATTGCTGCGTTGCTACATGCCAAGGACACTGAGTTTCTTGGCAACAGACCTCTAATTTTCCTTCTTTGATATCCAGGTCACGGCCATTTGAATTGAAGGATCATTTCCACTAGCAGTGCACAACAGCGCCACACAACTTCCTGTCCTGGTGTAAATATTCCCCTGAAGTTAGGGGTCTTTCAGCTATACTTACAAATATAAAACCTGTTAAGTGGTAACGTCCTGGTAAGGGTAATTTTGTAAAGATAAGGGAACACACAAGCATATTCAAAAGTCAGGCAGCCCAGTGCAATGCCAGCAATTTCCTCATATCAGCAGCGATGCAGTCTACTCTGTTCCACCAAAGATCATGTCTGAAAGGGACACAGGGAGAAAGGAGAGTGACAACTGCTTTATCCCCAGCTCTCTGATTTGTTAGATGGTCCAGTCTATCCCTAACCATTTACTGTCACCCCACTTTCTTATGAAAAAGGAAAATACTGTCTTAGAAGAGGGCTATCGGTTGTTCAGATTACATGACGAAATTGTATGGATTTCTGATTAGCTTTGACTCGGTCAGCTAGCTAGAAGAAACCGCGTAGCCCTAACCACTGGGACAAGGAAACACTCATGCTTTGTGTGAACTGCCATCCTTTAACTGCAGGACAAACTCCACACATCCCAAGGACCATAAACATCATCACTCCCTGCGTGAGGCATGCTTCCTCATTCCTAACCCTGCTTCAATTAAAAAGACATAACAGCATATGTATATTTTTGGAAAACATACTTCTTCACAACAAGGGAATACACAGTATGCTACCAAGGAGCAGGGAAGACACAACAGATCATACAGAACAGATGGGAGTCACATTGCTTAATGCACTGTTGGAAAGTGCCCAGCTACTCTGGTGATGAGCGATATAGGAACCTATATAGAATAATGCTTTGTTAAGTGCCAGCAACCTATTACATTATATTCCTGGGTACAGCTGAGGTGAATGGTTACCACAAGCAACCATTCCTTCTGCCAGCCCTGAGATCGCATCTGTGCTGCTACTTTGGCTGATGGTACACTCTGGACAGATGTTAACTTGTTCAAGCTAACCAAAAGCCAGCTGTCCATGCTAGTGTAGTGCCAAACCCAGGCCAATAAAGCACTCAGCAAATATATTAGCTTACACTTGCTGCTACTCTAATAGTCACTTGGTTTTTGGTTAGCTTGGAGCTTGATCAGAACAGGCTTGCAAGCATGCAGAACATGTAATAAAAGCAGACCTTAACAAAGACATTGCAGCAGGCGTTTGTGGCAATACTGGGTCAAGCGCCATCTCTCCAGCCACTTCAGACAAAAAAAAAATGGTGACTGGAAACATGCTCTCTACAGTCTTTAATCAGATCAAAACCAGCTAAGAAACAGGACTTTTACATTCTTCTCTTCTAGATAGCCTGCATCCATGACTATATATGACCATTTAGCTCTAAAAAATTCTCCAAGTTTGACCTTCTTTTCAATCATAAAACCCTTGACCAGAGAAATTTGATCAAAGTAAATGATACTTGGCAGAACTCTAGCCAATTTTTTAGCCATCCTTTTTTGTACTGCCTGTCCTAAATCAAGCCATCCTTTTTTCTACTGCATGTCCTAAATTTGATCTTGCAGCTAGGCACAGGTGAGGTAAACAAAGTAGAATCTTGACCATAAAACCCTGGATTGCCCTGAGATTCCAGCAATGAAATTAAGACAATACTGATTTCTTCCAGAGAATAGTCTGGTCCTGGGAGATTGGTACCTAATGCACAGAAGGAGAAAGAAACTAATTTTTACTCAAAAGACTGCGTACTTCTCTTTAAAGACAAAGGCAGGCATATCTTAAGTACCATTATAATTTTGTAAACTGCTAATGATCAGATCAGTAGCCATCTTCTACGCTATCTTTTGTGCAAAGTACATGAGTACTCCAAGATTGTTTTGCATGAGCTGTCTACTCCTGAACCATCACTGTCCACATCCAGTCATCTGCAACATCTAATAAAACATGGATTAAAGTAGGGAGGAGATTAGACAATCTTGGCAAACTTACCATTCGGTATGAGCCAACTCAGTAACATGGCTTATTAGAGTTGGGACACCGGTTTGAATAATTTCAAAACATAATTGAAGATTTTTTTCTGTTTGTGTTGTCTTACAAAGGTATCTTACATTTTACAGTATGATGGTACATAATTATAACATATCAATCTGTCTTCAGAGGAAACATAAGTCATGGCACTAGCTAAAATGTAAAGGATTATTACACTGTTTTAACATATAAATGATGTAGTTGTTAGAAAACAACAACAACAAAAATCCATGAAATATTCTTGCTCTTTTTTCCTCACAAATACAAAATCTTAATGAAGAAACTGTACTGGAAAGAGATAATGCAGAATATCTTTTTTTTTAAATCATATAGTTTAATATTTTGTATCTTTTTTTAAAATCACAACCTCTCCAAAAAACATTTCAGTCTTCACACAAGAAAAGAAGCTTGATAAAAGAGGCAGTTGTATTTGTGTTAGCACAGCTTGGTTTTATGACTTGATTTATTTTACAGAATTACTTTCCAGCTAGTCATCATAAATTTCTCTCATATTTAGACTTATAAGGTGCCTATCATCTTCATATTTAAGCAGTGAAGATTGCTTTGTTTTATTTTTATTGAAATCATGATCATCTTTATTACCACCATGGGTATGAAGTCAATAATATCCTTTCTGTTAACTGTCCACTCAAACTTCAAAATATTTTAACATACTTTGTTGTGGTCTTTGTTTCTTAATTTTAGGTCTGATGCCTACGAGCAGAATAAAATAAGACTCCTTAGCAAGCATTGCAGTTCCCAGCTCTTCAGAAAAGCTAGTTTCTTTACTTCATTCTTTTTAACTCCTGACAGTTATCTCAAGCCTGCGAATGAGCTAGCCTTCAGGGTCAGCAACAATTATATGTTATCATGGAATGACTGTTCAAAAGACTCTGGAGAGTGAAGCAACATTCAAAATTCAGTTTTTAATTACTAGGTATTCACCTCTTAAGTCATGCTGGAAGCAGTCTCTGAGAATGGGCGTGGAAAGGACTTCCTCTAAGACTGAAACCTGGGCTCCTTTTAGCGTAGAGTTAAAGCATACTAACCAGGAAACCTGTAAACTTCTATTGCCCATTCTCTTCCTTATCTAGGAGAGGAAGATCTCAAGATTTTCCAAAGATATCAATAAGTACTAATATCCATGACCACTGAGGCTAACACCACGCTGCCCAGGCTTCATTTTGACAGTAAGTGTGTGATGCCTGTGAACCAATCAAAAGAGTACAGATCTTTCAGAAAGATTAAATTAGTTGTCATCATCCTCTAACAAAAAAAGTGTCCATGTTTATTTTCAGAATCCCTCACTTTCAGATGCAAGTGCTTCATCAACAGATTTTGTATGCCTCTCCCCAGTGCAAATCCCATAGTACAGTTGGTCATCCTTTACAGCAGCCCAGGACATCTGCTTGGTGGAGAACCTTGCTGCCCACTCTCCCGAATTGTTAACAACGACGACACCCCCCAAGCCCCCAACTCGTGTCATCATGTAGTCTAATGCAGTGTCAGCAGCCATCTCTGGTGACATTCCTGAAAAGAAGGACAAGATAACTATACAATATCTCTTTGGAATAAATTTTAAAATTCCCTTCAAGTTTCACCCGTCGCTATGGAGCCAACCCAATCTAATTCCTCCTTTAACTAAATTGACAAGAAATTCCCAGTGCAGCAAAGGAACTGCTTACTTTATAGGAAGGCTCTGGATGATTGCAAATAGCTGATATGCTATGGTGCTGCTGCAAAGACAGGATTTGAATAGCTTCAGATTATACTTCAATTCCAGTCTTCAGTATAGACTAAGATGTCAACTCTGTGTTCAAGACATATTTCATGTGCCACCATTTGACGGGGAAAATGGCAGCCTGCAAGCTTTCCATTAAAGGCCTGTCACAAACTAGGTCTAAAGCATTTATGATTTAAATACATTAAAATAGTCAAAAGTTTCAGTCATTATGTGTGTTCCAAGTCCACTGGACACAACATAGCTCAAAGCATGTGCTTCACATTGCCACAATTTATCAAACACAGACAGTGTTAGTCTTCCTGAAGCTTCTGAAAGTATCAGGGAAGATGACTAAATGTGCCAGGCATCAGAGAAAGCAGCAGCAAAGCAACTTCCATCTTTTCTTAACACTTAATTCATATTAACAGAAATATTTTTAAATAAACCAAAATTACTGTGTACACTGTACACAGAGGCCTGTAATAGCTGGAGGATATATGCTCACTACAAGTTTGATTATCTGCTCAGGAATGCAGTTAGCTTTGTCCACGTCTTCTAAGATATATATTATCTGCAATGTAATACAACTTAGCTTGCAGAATAAAAACTGATCTGCATGCCTTCCCTCAAAACTTTGAGTTAAAACCAAACAAAACCAGCAGAATCAGAATTATTCACAGCACTTGCAACTGATAGGATAAAACTCCATTCTTTGACAGTATGGGTGATGTTGTGACTATTCAAGTCAGTGGCACTGACTTCAAAGGGTCAGTACTTCACTGTCTGATTTTTCAAAAAGACAACAGCTGCCACCATAAGACACAGATTCCAATAGCTGTTAAGACTGACAAAACAATTTACTCTCTAAGCATGTAAGGACATTTCACAGTACTGGTCCCAAAGAAAGATATTCACTGCGCGCATTACTGAAGAACTGAATAGTGTGTTAGGTTTTATAGTCGTTCTTCAATATGCTACTTCAGTTGATAGCTTAAGGACTCAAAAGTTACAATAATTGGGGAATTATTTTCAGCACTTTCCCTGAGATGTGAAGAAACTCCCTATTCTTGATGTATTTTCCTGGCAGCGGAGTTATACTTCTGGGCAGAGTGAACGAAGGTAGAGCAAGCACAGGCAAAGTGAACATGTGCAAACCAATTACTTTTTTTTTTTTTTTTTTTAAATATGTGGGTTGATTTTCTTTCTCTCTCTTTTTTTTTTTTCCTCTTAATTTTGAGGCTCATTCTCCTTTCATACTGGAAAATCACAAGCAAGATAACTGGTATTAATGCATGGGTTTTTGCAGTGCAGTTAACTTCAAGCAAGAGAAGAAACTGCCTTGCGCAGTTCAGACTAAATAGAGCTTAGAAAGCCATGTACAAATCCAATGACCAGGGATATAATATGGAGAGTGAGAGGAGACCACAGTGTGTCAGAACTTTGAGAAATAGTCTGTAGGTGTATTTTATGCTGAAACCTTAAGATGAAACAAGAGAATTGCAGAGAAATATAGCTATTTTATGAAAATAGCACTATGAAGCATAACTAAAATATTCTCAACTGCAACTTGTCTCTCTGTTTCTCTAACGAAAATGTAAATTGAAAGTTTTTCAACTATTTCCAATTGTGAAGGTCTCCAAGTAACTTGCATTGTAATACAAAAAGCTACAGCTTTCCAAAAATAATGGTGATATCTATATTAATGGTTCTTCAACTGCATGCAGTGCAAGTATGTTGTCTGGCTATGTTTACAGGCTGTAATATAATCAAGGTTTTGGATGACAGGCTAACTCATGAAGGTAAAGCTCCAAAGGGTCATCCCACAGGCAGATTATATTACAGTCACATAAGACATACTGTGTCAGCTGTTTACCACATACCCACCCAGTCAGTTTAGTACACTCTCCTAAACAAAATGAAAATTTAAATCATAGTTAAAGTGTCTTTAACACATTTCCGTTGCTATAATCAAAGGTCTTAAAACAGAGAACATTACAGCTCATTGGAAATGTGATATTCCATGCTTTCTTATTACAGCTGTGATTCTTTTCTCTAACCGTCCCCCGTTCCCTCCTTTAAAATACCTTGCCTTTACTTGCTTTCTATTTGTTTGTTCACAAAATCATAGTTTCAAATTGGAAAAAACTTTCTTAAAGAAAATTTCAGTTAAACATGACAGAGTAGACAGTACCATCTTTTAGCACACATTGATCTAAGACATGATTAAACATCAAGCAGCGTAGATATTTCTGTCCATTTAATGCTACGTTAGCTTTATTAATACTTCAGGGGTTTTTTGTTTGTTTGTTTTTAAGAGAGAATCCAACCACATGCTCCTGGGAACTACTCTTTTGACAACTGCTCTATGATGATGGTACATTAAACCTAAACCTGTCATTAGGCAGCATTTCCTGTCCTCTTTATTTAAGCTTACAGGAAGTTGGGAAAATACCTTGCTCCATGTGATAGAGGATCAGTCGGGCTAAGACCACTTTCATAATGCTCTCTCCATGTCCTGTAGTTGAAGTGGCACCAGAACAGTTGTCAGCATAACCTCCACTCCCTTTTCAGAGAAAAAAAGGCAACATTCTGTAATACAATTTACAAGCTCTGCATTATTTTAAAAAGGTACCAATCAATTCTTCCTAACAGTATGGAAGTTCTGTTCACTTCTTGGAGCAGCGTCAGCAACTGACTTCTTTCTCATTTCTGCCTCACAATTTCAACGATGAAATGCATGAGAGAAGTCAGCAACAGCAGGATGAAGTCAGGTGCCAAGTTATGAGAGCTGGAAGAACAGTGATCTGCTCAGGGCAGGAGAAGAAGGAACAGGCCAGAGCTTCACAGGGATGGGCATAAATATTTTCCAGAACAGCAAGGAACAGTATGTTGAGAATCAGCAGAATAGCAGTGGGATGCAGAATGCCAGGTCAGACAACGTGACTACTTGAGAAGATATGAAAGAAGTGAAGACTTTGGTGAATTGATCAATGTTTGTGGGGGACTTATCTGCAAAGGCAAAAGCAGATGAGAGATTTGCAGAGCCTGGGCCCTGGTGGAGCACTATGAAGCGCTCCTGAAGAAACCCTAACTCCTAATCTCAAACAGGGAAGGTCTTCTGTCAAACTCCTTTTCCTCTTTTTCCCCATCTCTGTTTTTTGTGCACCTTCCACACCCTGTTCTCCACCAAGCTTTCGCTTGCCCAACACCCATGCTTCTAGCACATCTCCTAAGAAAAATATTTCCCAGGAGCTTGGGGAGGAGCGTACCATGGGATTATATGGATAAACAAGGTACTGGGGGAGGGGAGAGAGGCCGAGCAGAACAATGGAAGATTCTTCCCTCTCCTACTTTCTTCATCTGATAGGCCCCTTCCAACAGACCCTGATTTACAAGTGAAAAACATTGCCACAATAAGTCTGTCAACCCCCCTTTCAAATTGTGTACGGGCCAGAGGCTGTGATAGTTAAAAGCATCCCTAGCTTTTCTGTATCCAGTCCTGCAGATCTCTAGTAAGGGCAAAAGTTGCAAGCAACAGTACCCATTGAGAAGGCTGCAGTCAGAAATGAAGTTGAAAAATCACTCTCAAAAATGCAGAGGGTACCAGAATATCAGTAACTCGGGGTGTGAGAGAAAGCCAGTATTAGCTCGATGATGATAATGAACTGCCAAAAGCAGCGCTATTTGAGTTTGGAACATGTTTTACTAAAAATAATTATTTCCCAAATCCCAACTCAATGGTAGAACCCTGAAGTAATCAAAGGGCAAGTCTGTCCCAGGAGAGGAATAAGCCTGGGGAAAGAATTTCAAGTGTCACTTTATACTTGGATAAGAGATCTCTTAAAATATTTCCTTTATTCCACACCACATCTATTAGGATCTGACACAGTCTTATCCGGACTCTCCAAGAACAGGAATTTACTCAAAGCCGCCAGTCATGTTAGACTTCTGGCTCACAGGCAAAATGAAACCACAGTAATTACAATTACACCTACTTCCCTAAGTATCAAGAAAACATTATTTTAGTACAGAAGAGACTACATTTTTGACTTAACTGTGAGCACGGAAGTACAAAAGGATAGAGTTATTAGAACGAACAGAAAGGACACAGGAAAAAAAAAAATCAAACCTAAATGTCGTTATTAAGGAAGAGTGGAGAAAAATTCCCATCCCCACTTTCCCAGATCAAAGAAGTGCTGGCAGATGATGACGACAACTCACTTTTACTCCTACTCGCTACTTGCGGTCTCCATGTCGTATTAAGGAACTTGAGTTTTGATGTATTTGAATGTTAGAACCCATTTTATATGTACCAGTATTTATGTTTCAATTCTCTAATGGAACAGAGAACGTATGTGATGCGTCCTTTTTAATGAGATACCTCCAAAAAACAAGAGGGAATTCCCCACACCCCATACCTATGCATGCTGTGTCACCAACACGGCCGATCAGTTTGTTAGAGAGTCCTCCGGTGGATGTTGCACAAGCTACGTTTCCTTCACTATCTATAGCAACAGCACCGACCGTTCCCAGGTCTCTGCCAAGAAAAATAGTTCACAAAATCAGGTAGAATTAAAGCATACATGCCAAAGCATGTTCCATCTATTTTCCAAGGTAGCTTTAAAAAAAAAAAAAAAATCATTGCAAATTTTACAATGTGAAAAAATTTGATCTACGCTCATGATGAAGCCATTTTTACCATGCTTTTCATTACAAAATAGACTGTCTTTTTAACTAACAAGCAATATGTAACAATTCTGACAGCTTTATAATTAATACTACAGAAAACACTCTTGATTTTTTTGATCCATCTGATCTCCACTGTGACTTTTTTTAACCTTCACAGCATGGAAATGTCCACTTGGGGAGCAAAAAAGGGGGAAAAAAAGAAGAAAAACACACATACACAGAGGGCACGAATATTTCTAGCCTTTAGAGTTCCGGAGTAGGGTTCTTTTGTTGTGTGACACCTCACGCATAACTTTCCCCTGTACAGCAACTCAAAGACACAAAAGTTGTCTCCACTGTCTCAAAGGGAGATTAACCTGAATTATTATCAATAATGCATGTAAACAGGTAAACACAGAAAGACAGAGCGATGTTATGAATCCTTTGAATCATTTCCTTCCTGTTCCTCCTCTTTCCTCTTCCTTATCTCCCTAAATGTCTGAATGCCACAAAAAGGAAAGGTTATTTACGTGCCTTTCAACTAGTATTGTTCATAATGCATCATTAATACATATTCTCCTCTTTGTACTTTTCAGTCAAGTAATCTTGAGGATTAAATCACTTGGCCAGTAGAATCTGTTGGAGCTGCACACCAGCTTAAAAATCCTCAAGCACTGAAGAGAAAAAAGATAAGTCTCAATAATTGCTTGATTTCTTCAGCACAGAAAAGTCAGTTGTAATAGGTTGCTTAAAAATATATATATTTGTATAGTAGAGAGCGAGCGAGCCAGAGAGAAAAGGCTATTGTAACTTACTGTAACAACTGCTGATTGAGAAGTAACACAGTATCAAGAAGCAACAGTTTTGAGTGTCTGTCCACATAGCCCAATCTCGGTAAATCACATAATGACATAAAATAGTATCTAGTTACGAGAGATGTATTCAAAATATTTAAATCCCTCCACAAAGGAAAAGAATTTGTACTGATCCTTCAAGGAACTGTCCAATAGGTGAATGGAATGAGAATACCTTTGGAAGTTGTCTGGGCACTGGTGAGAGTCTCTCTATAATCCCCCAAAATTGAAGCTAACTAAGTCAGGCAAAGTCACGATGTCTTTGTGCATCACGAAACCCACAATCAATCTCATAGAGAACTGACTTCCGATTCCTTTCTGCTTATGTAAAATATCATACTGCCAGTCCCTACGCTTCATTCACGGGAAATCAAAGCTGACTGATGAATCACAGGCCTTACAAACTGATCTGACATTTATGTGGAGATGGACCTCATCTCAAACTGATATGATGCTGCAGACGAGCTTCCCACCCATCCATCTGTTACAAATCTTTGGAATAAGAGACTGAAGATAAAACAAACCATACCTTATTCTCAGGAAAAAGCATACAAGATGTCATGTTGTACATGCAATGGAATCATAAACTTTTAACATAGTCTCAGAAATACGCTCTCAATATTCAGGTTTCGTGAATCAGCGCAGGTTTATAACCAGCAGAAGAGAAAGGTCTCTCTTCTGGAGACACTAAACTTCTGCTTGGAAAGTCATGAACCCACAAGATTTCTAATACAGTCAACTGATACATTATTAGGACCTGAGAACTGAGAGTAAAGTACACACCAACCTTCAGCTTCCTGGTATGAACTGGTATTATGTTGCCTTTCACTAATAACACTTTCACCTTCTGCCTGCTTGCCTCAGGCAGGTTTCTGGGTAATCACTGTGGACACAACAAGGAAGAACAACTTTCTACAGGCAGTACAGGAGCAAATAAGCTAACAAAGAGACCTGTTTTCAGCTCTGAGTTTGTGCTAACGTTTGTGGGCGCTGGTTGTCAGAAAAAGAACATGGTGACTAAGAGAATGAAATTCTCAAGCCCCTCAGAAAAACACAAGCCTTCCAGTATCAGGTAGTCCAGATCAAGACTGAGCTGAAACTGAAGATGCCTAACACTATTATTTATGAGAGGTTTTTTAAGCAGTTATGCAGAATGAATGGAGACTCTGATATGATGTCATTCCAGCTTACATACTCGGGGGGCAAGTGACAGTGGGTCTACTCCATCCTCAAAATTCTTGGGAGTGAATTACACCATGCATTCCTTGATAGGCAATGGATCAAAAAACTTGTCATACACAAGATGAACTACGACTGAGATCTTATGGTCAATAGAACATCATTTTGTTTATAAGGCCATATTTACACTGCTCTTGTGAATTTGTTTTTATTTCTAGCAATTGATCAGAAGTAACATATAATTTGTTTTTTGTGGCCTCATTTCATGGATTTTAATTAACATGCCCACAGAAGAAATTTCCTCCTGATCTACAAATTCTTCATCTTTCATTCCCTCATTACTACTACTTCACAGAACAGACAAGTAATAGTATGTAACACAGTATTTTCCTATGCCACAACCACTGCCATAAAAATGGAAGCTTAAAACAATAACATTTATTCCTACCTACCCCACCAAGGTAGAAAAGAACATTTTTGATACCTGATGATTTTAACTCCTTTCACCTGCGCCCTGCCTTCCCCTCCATTTTCTTATGCCAGGTTTGCTTATTCTTCAAATAACTTTCATTTTTGGTGTCTAATCCAAACCGATAGCATATACCACTATATTGAACTTCTTGGTCTAGTTTTTCTTCTCCCTTCAGCCAACGGCCATGATCATCTTACTGACCAAACTCAGATGCAGTTTAACTATCTAATCCAGTTTAAAGACACATCCGATCATCTCCTTACCAAGACCAGCTTTTCAAAATGAGTTTGTGCCTTCCACCCGCCATCCCCATAGACATCGGCTGTTTAAAAAGTGAACTGTAATTTTTCTAAACCACAGTTATTCTGTGGTAAGTAACTACACCTCCTTGTCTGTTAAAACTGCTGTAGGCACTTCTATATCTGGTGATTTTAAGAGCAATAACAAGTTCTAATTTTGTCTGCCATTAATGCCACAAAGTCACACAAAGTCAAAGCAAGCAACAACCTTCCTTCTTAAGCATTAACAAGATCGTTCATTAAGCTCCAGTTACTTGCACAAAGCAAATTTATTGAAGCCTTGATGCTTCATTACTTTCTCCAAAGATATACTCTGAAGATAGTATCAAATCATGTATCAATCAGAACTGAAGTATTCTCAAATCTGAGAACAAGCTTACAAATTCTGTTTTTTTGTACCGCTAGAACAAACTAAGTTACCTGTATTTAAAAATAAAATATATTTTATAAGAACCCTACTTCTGAAACTCCTCAGGGTTAGAATCTGGCTCAAGGTGGTTCTTCCATCTCTCCCGCGATCTTTCAGTTATGAGTTTCTCCCCTGGGATCTCAGGAACACCCATGGCCTGAGCAAACAGGTGTGCACCACGGTCAGTCAGCAGCGCGTGTTTTGTCTGGAGAAGGCAGAAAAGAAATTCACTGACAATATTTGTTTTGTCTTGTATGAGTAATTTTCTATAATCACTCTTCATTTTTAGAAATATGTGCCTAAAAAAAAATCCAGATTTGGTTTTATTTTTAAACTTCCCAGATTTCTATGCCTATCTCCTCTTCCACCAGAAAAACGTTACAGCTTTCCACAATACAGATACAAGCTTTCAGCATGAGTAGAAGAAAATTACTTTCATCTAGTCAATGCTGACTACAGTAGAAAAAGGAAAATTGGTAAATTCACTCTTTTTGCTAATTTGCACGGAACTTCTTTGTACCGTCTTCAGTCAATCACCAAGTCATTGCTTATCTAATTGGTTTGTCCAGTTAACTGATCACGACGACTTTAATCAGAAGGAAAGAATGGTAAGTAAATCTCTGTTCTATGCAAAGTTATTACCCACTGTAGAAATAAAACAACAAAAAGATTAAAATATCATACACTAAAGTGTTTCTTAACATCAGCTAAATCATTTTATTTATAACAGTTCCCTTACTAGCTACTGCTCTTATGGACCCTGAATTCTATATTTAAGAATAGAATATTGTTCTCAGATTTGAAAAAAAGATTGCTTGCTCTCTTCTACAATATTTACATTTGCAGAAGCTCTGTTTTGATCCCTTTACTCAGCAATGCACTTACTTGCTCTTAAGTCGACAACCTTAGTCAAATCCATGCTTCAAAGTCTGTATGCCTTATTTTTTATGTCAGAAGAACTTGCCAAATAGATTTGTTTCATTAGTCCTTCTACTTTATTAGGAGCTCTAAAATCTAATTTTTTTAAAATAAGTGTCTAAAAACGTGCATCAACTTATTGTACTAGTGAACTGTCATAATTGTTCAAACTGGGGAAGCTTTTGGAAGCGTGGTGGACTAGCGATGCTGTATGGAGTTAATTGAGAGCATAACAGCTAACTTAAGGCAAGCTTGTATGATGTTACAGCATAGCACGCAGCTACCAGCTTAGGTCGAAAAGGCAGAATTGCGCGATGCTGGAAGCAGCCAGGTTCACGAGCACTGCAGAGCTTCACAGTGGCATGGGCACTGCTTCTCCTTCTAAAGCTAGGATGTCTGAAGTTTGGGTGTTTCTGCCTCACATTGGACTCTGCAGAACAATTACAGTCTTGAAGCTTCATACTGAGATGTTGCAGGTCATCAACTTCTGTGGCTTTCTAAAGCAATGACCAGCAATCACTACCATGAGCAAGCCACAGCATTGCGTTTTTGTGAAGGATTAAAGAGTAGAGCAGAACCTCTTCCCAAACCACAGACGCTGAGCTCTGCCTCAGCCTATTACAGTCTCTGTACTAACCTTTTCAAACACTTACACAAACAAAAAAACTGTGAATACACTTTTAAAACCACTCCTGAAAGATCATTCACACATGTGGTGGCCCTAATGACAAATATTTTTAAAAATTTAAATCTCTTTTTCCTGCAAGTCAAGTCCTCACTTCATGACAGCACTGCTATACAGAACAAGACTGAGAGATACAAGAAAGAAGTTGTCTGTGCGTTTGAAAGAGCAGATAGTCTTGCATATTAAGTGATGTGACCAAATAATAAAAGATTTACCTATTTCTGACAAAGCTGAAACGTTCCTGGACTTGGAAGAGAACTTCTTTGTAAATACTGCCCCCCTCTGCCACTGTGACTAAACTACCGGAAGCACATGATTCAAATTTTATTTTTAGAAAATACCACTGAACTCTTCTTTTGACTTTATCTGTATCAGAAGGCTGTCTCCTCCATCACAATATTAGACCTTTAATATTATTATTAAAAAAATTACTTAAGTTTTATTTTTAAAAGTGAAAGTGTGTTTTTTTTTTAAAAAGTGTTCCCTCCCATACACACATTCTGATAACACATCCACCCCCATGAGGTCCACATACAAGAAATAGTTGCATATGGAGGAATAAGCTTCTGTGATAGGTTTTTTGCAGTCCTCCCTGAGAAAAGCTATCTGAGTAAGAAGTCAATTTGTTATTCCTTCAATGTATACTGTCCATCAAAAGAGAGGGTAGAACACTGTCAAACAAACCCAAAGGTGCATTTCTGTTTCATCTTTTTTCCATAGTTTCACAAATGCATTTGCTAAATTTAAGTGCCTAATTTTTCTGGGACACATTTATACAAAGTAGCTGGAAAAAAACATTAAAAAAAAGTTTGCATAAGAAATAACAAATGACAGCAAGTTTCATTAATTTTATGGAATATGGAGAGGAAAAATACCCTAACTTGTCTGGAATTCAGACCAACATTGCTGTTTATTTAACAACCATGGCAACCATGGTTTAACGACCACACAGAACACAGCAAAAGTTACCACCTTTGTGTTAATGAGTCTATGTTCTAAGTTAAGTTCTTTGTCTAATTTAAAGAGCCGAGTGAGTCAGCAGGGAAAAACATATACACAGGTAGCTCAAGTATTGCAGTGAAGCAGCATTCTAATATTCGCAAGATGCATCTAATAAATGTGTTGGGGTAGAGTGGGGGGGATTACCTGCCCCACGGGGCAGGGGGGAAGAAGCCCTCTCAGTGCATCATTTTATTTCTGTTCACTGCAAACAGTAATAATTTAACAGGAATTTAACTGCTTTCTCAAGGATTTGTTGGATTAGTCATTAAACGAACTAAGCCTTTCATCTCTAGAGACTGCTATGTTCAGTATTTTAGTAAGCCACGAATGGAAATTATTCTGGTATCCTCCTTTCTTCTGTACCATGAATTTGGACAAGTTTGAGCCCAGTGACAGTGTGACAGCCTACAAGATACATGTGTGCAGCAAAATTTTAAGGAGTTACTTTGACCACCAGATGGCGCCCCTATTGTTCCACAAAAGTAATTATCTGTTATTCCATTCCAAGAGATGCTTTCTGTTGTTGGTGGTGTTTTTTTGTTTTTCCTTTAAACATGCTCAGGAGCCCATGAAAACTCCCAGCTTCTTCATCCGCAGGTCACTGAGTTCATAGTATTTAATTCCATACCCAAATTTCTTCTTCCCTCGTTCCCTCTTCCCCCATGGAAAATAAATGCCATATATTAAATAAACGAAAGCTTTTTCTATAGACTATTTTCCTTTAGTTAGCTTCTGTGAACAGGGTATCCATTAAAACCCCACATACAATGTCAGAAGAAAATTAGGTTCATCCACAGTAAAACACATCAAATAAAATACGTTCTGAAGAGTAGTGTGAAATAGCCTGGGTTGGTGTCCCATAATTCCTAAGACCAACAGAAGAGTAACATCAGTTGGTATTCCAATATGTAATATTGGAAGAAGCAGCAAAAACTTAGCATGAACCGTTTTGATATATCTTAAGGTAACATATACGTTTGATCTTTACCATCTACACGGAATTCCTGGCATCTGGGTAAACAGAAATACACTCTACCACAAAACGGAAGTGCTTCGCATTTCATTTTTTTTTAGAACCATACAACTATGTTTGGTCCTGTACAGCTGGATTTTATTATTTCCTTTCAAATTTACCCTCAACATTTTGAGCACCAGAAACGTCATACAATGACAAGGCAGACTCCATTACACGTGACAAAGACATAAGGAAGTTTTTTTTGTTTCTTTTCTTGTTGTTGTTTGGGGGGTTTTTTTGGTTGGTTGGTTTTTTGCTTTTAAATGCTTTGGGATGTTATTTTCTCAAAAATAAATCACTGTTGTCTTGACTTTATACTTGTTGACTTAAATGGGATTTTGTTATTAGAGGGTGGAGACCAAATCAGTGATTTTGGAACATGAACTGAACAGGCATTAAAAGAAATGATTTAAAAGATACACACTTTTCCCCCCCAACATCCTAAGAGATATGCCTTCCCCCAACCCTCCACCTATATAGTCAAATTATAAAACATCTGGTCTTGTGAAGCCGTCTACCAATTATACTCACTCATTTGTCCTGGTTAAGTAACAGAATAAATCCCATATAAAGGAACAAAAAGCTTATTCATCAGAAGTTTAAATATCATTTTCTGGTAGGTACACATTTTAAAATATCTATATATAAGGAAAAAGTTTTGCTTTTAAAAACAGAACTACCCTCCAATTAAGGGCAAAAAATAATTCTTATGTCCTTTGGAAGCTTCTGAGGACAAGCTGCATTTAAGTCTTCTTTATAGATTAGAAAAAGAGGTTTTGTTTTCGCAAAAGTCCCTTTGAAAGGTTAAAGAAACATAAATCCTCTTTGTTAATGAGTGTTCTCGCAAACACAATCCCCTTTTCAACCACGGTGTAGCTGCACTAGCAGATGAAAAATGCACACTCCAGAAGCAGTACAAACTTTTTGATCACAGTCAGAGTCTAGTTATGGCAAAACAGATGCACATATCACATAAATAGCCTACTTTATCATCTGAATGAGAGCAATTGCACCATTTCTGAAAAACAAGAGAAATTTGCAGTGGCAGATAGTAAGAGGGAATTCTTAGTGGAATGAGTGGAATGAGGTGGGATCGATTTTATGTAGAAGGGTAAGGCAAGTAGTAATCATTTTACTGCCCTGAATTGCAAGTTTGATTCTCTTGGAAAATCTGTTGCCGTGCTAGTGTTGCCTTCCACTGCTGGAAGGATCATGACTAACACTAAAGCTACCATCTGATTAGGTCGCAGTGGAGAAGGTCACATAGAATACTATAAAACTACACTACCTGGACAGATGAATTATCAGGTCATTTAGTTCAGTTTCATGTCATTACAAAGTCTCTACCACATTACCCAGCTTTTACCTTGTAAGGTTGAGCAGAAGACTCAGTGGCAGCATAACAGCTCTTAAACAAAAGAAAAAAAACAAACAAACAAAAAAACCACACACCACTAGAACTTTCAAGACCAGCTATGGCGCTGCAGAAAACTGACATGCCTAGGTGTATTTCTCTTTGAATTTTCAATTGCACGACACAACTCAGGTTTTCTTAGAATGTTATTTTTCATCAGCACTTAAAAACCCTTAAAATAAAAGTTTTTTACAGTTATGATCATAGTTTTCAAACATCATACTATTCATTTCTGCCTTCTCTCCCGACTTAAAGCATTACACAAACATCATCAGTAAAGTGTATCAACATACTGCATGAAGTCCTACGGGAAAGAAAGTTTCACATGCAAGTACACATTCAGCTTACCTTTTCCATGACAAGTCGAGCAAGTTTTATTGGGTTTGCTACACATTTAACTGCAGATACTGCTCCTGAGGCTAGATTTTTTCCATTCATAATGATGGCATCCATTTCTACTTCACCTTTTTCATTTAGAACAGATCCACAGCCTAAAGGAAAAAAAAAAAGGATGGAAGAGAAGAAGTTATTAAGAGTTAACCATCATATGATTCAATTAGACCTTATCAAGCAGGCTTTCTCTTTCCCAGTTTGTCTTCTGACTTATTGAAAGTGGCTACCTCCTGAATATAAAAAGAATTGCAGAAACACTGCCAAGTATAGTTATACTTGGCAAAACCCAGTGCCATTAACAGAAGTCTCGCATGGTACAACGACTACTTGAAAATGAAATTTCCTTTTTTTTTTATTCTTTTATAAAACAGAAAACACACTTGTGACTCAAATAAATCATTAATTCAGTATATGGAATGCCATTAGTGTAATCCCATCTGAAATGGTATATTAGGTATGAAAGATAAAGTGATATACAGTCAAACAGGACTCTCTATCCCCTAAATCACTGTATGTGCATATACAGCTAATTTACCATATATTTTTTCCAACAGTAGGATACAACACAACCCAGAAAAATAGTGTAGGGTTCAATCCCATCATGAGATTAATATCTCGCTAACAGTCCAAGAAACTGCTGAAATTGATAGGGCAGAATAAAAGGCTAAAGCATCCACTCGCTAGTGTGCCAAAAGCTTGAATTACTGAGTTCGTCATTGCCAAATAAAAACAGTAGATAAAAGAATTAGGGGAAAAAACCCCAAGTAATAAAATGCTGGGTAGTTATTTTCTTCTATAATTATCAGTGCTACTACTAACCTAATCTAAAATTAATGAGATAATGCAAATAGCTTTTTTTAAAATAATGCCAGTAACCGTACCATAGGGGAATGGTAAGTTATAAAAGATCAAGTGTACAAGTCTCGCTAATAGTGATAGAAAAGACTAAACATAAAAACAAACAGGAAAAAAAACATGGTAGACTCGCTGTAATCCTTGCAGAAAGACTTGAAGACCATGCAAAGCTAGAATAGTTTTTTTTTGTGTGTGTGTGTGTGTTAAAACAACATTAAAGCAGGTCAGAAACCACTGTTAATATACTGGTATAAAAGTCTCACGACAACAGTCATTTCAGACCTGAACATATGAAGCTCAATACTCTGCTACACAAGGCAACCAAATCCTGTAATCTTCAAAATCCCCCCCAAACACACACCTGAACTCTGCCCCAAGGAGTTATTTTTTGCCCCTCTCTGAATACAGGAACTATTCCAGAGTTTAGTCCTGCCTCATTCAGAATATGCTAACTTCTTGACTACTCTGATATATGGAGAGCTTATAGGTATTTTCCTCATGCCCCCTGTGCTAAGATCATTCTTCTCTCCAGCTTCTCCCTTATTCTAATGCAAGGAATAAGTCTTCATTATTTTCTTAGATAAGCCGTGTCATGACACACTTAGTTTCCTTTCACAAGGTAGGCTCTCTAGCCCACGATCATGAAATCTCCACTAGAACTAGAAGCTTTCTCAGGTACCAGTGAACAGAGCATGGCTCCAGGGGAAGTCCTACCAGTCCATTTCATGACTGCATTTATAGTAATCCATATCTACTGGAGATCTCTCAGGGTATATATCCTAGGATTTCATTCACTGTGATAAATCATCTACGTCAGGCATCCACCCCCTGTAAATTAACACATACAGATCTGAGCTTCTTCTTTCTTGCTAAAAGAAAGGCGCCCTTCCTTTTCCCATAGCTTAAATAAGCTACTCCTGTCATATCCTGAGTAGGAAACTGTTGGAGAGTTCATCTGGCTGAAGGTAGCTGCCTACAAAAGGCTCCTTTCATAGCCAATGGAGAGAGACAGGCACGCTCAAAGTACAATTCATCCCACTTGTCTTAGAGATAGGTCTATCTGGACCTATCTTCTGACTGCAATGGAAGCAAGTATAAGCCAAGGCTAGATACAAAGCTTGTTTAGCTGAGGCGGCACGAATCCTTCCTTTTGCGGTTACAGATGCCTCCTGGCTGGTTACTGATGTGCTTCCAGATCAGACTGGATTTTCACCTGCCTTCCAGCAGGACAGGTGTAGGGCCTACCTGACCCTGAGGATACTTTCTAACTGCAGCAGCATTGGGTGGTTGGAGCGGGGGGGGCTGACTCAGTTATGAGCCAGGGGCAGGGGAACATAGTAGAGACGCAACAAAGAGGGAAAATCTAAGGGACCACAAATAATGCATGCAACTGGCATTTTTCAAACAGCAGCAGGGATGCTCAGAGGATTACCGAGATTCCCTCTGTCTAAAGGCTACACTGTAGCTAAGTGTAGCAAAAAGGCTAAGAAGGAAAGAGTGCGCAAAGATCACTGTACTAGAACAACAGTTCTTATATCTGAAGTACACAGTCCAAGCTAGTTAATACTGAGAATCATTAGACATGGCATGAAGGAAACAGAGCCATGACCACTTCCTTGTGACAAGCAGAACTTGATGACTTTATTGTAAGTTATATGCTGCACAACTCATTAAGATGGTAGTTTCAGCTTCTGAGCCCTGACACCAAGACTACATGGAGATGTAACTCAAGTACAGCTGAAACCTATTATCAGAAAAGAGACAGAGCTTGATCCTTACGTGCATTCTTCCCAATCTTTCTTGTTGTCCCTTAGCAATGTCCGTGTTTTGCTAGAAAACATTACAATAAACTGCTTTTTTCTTTTACAGAGATAAAATACCACATGGTGAGTTTTAAACAGCCACTCCAATCAGGGTCGTCTTCACATAGCTTTCAGCTCATTCTCTCCGACTACTGAGAGTAGTTGTATCTAACGAGCATTAACACAATTAGATGTATACATAAGTGATTACAAGGCTACTTGCCATTTAGATCAGCACAGTCAAACTTGAACAAGAGCTTAAAGTTCAAGTCCACAGTTTAAACCAGTGTTGCTAAAAATTGCCCATTTAATATATTATAAACAAGATAAAAATTCTGAATTATTAAAACAAAGAATAAGTTGGAGTAAATGCCCTTAAACAAACAAACAAAAAAACCAGCTTATTTTCCATCAAGGAAAACAGGACCTCATACCATTTAAAAGGCTGTCACAGACACACATTGCACTTCGTACGTTAAGGAAAACGTTAAGTTATAACTGACTAACGGGATATGGCAGAGTTTGAGGTCCTATCCTCAAATAATGCGATCATTTCTAAAGGAGCACACGCTGCTCACAGTTGTCAGTTCAACAACTGTACTCAGAGAAGCTGGAATTCTTGCTCTGCTGAAAGAAGGTAGCTTTGAAGTGCCTGCCCAACCTTCCCTCCTGCAACACTACAAATAAACAAACAAACAAGCAGTAGAGTTGTAGCAGAAGCCAGTGAAAAGTTTCCAGATGAAGCACCAGATCAGTGCTCCAAAATAAGGAAAACCTATTCGGTCATGCATCGTTTTCACCTCTTTTCATCAATTTCCCAAAGCTCCACTTGGCTCACAAAAAGCAAAACTAGTGACAAGATCCCAAATAAAGGGTGTGAAAATTAGATAAAATAAAACGCTCGTGTGCTAAACACAAAATATTGCTACTTATTGTGCTTCTACTTACCAGGATAAACGTCCAAATCCTTCAGGCTGCTGTGTGTAAGTTAAATAAATGAACCTAGATAGATCATTATAAAGCAGGCTTTCACCACAGTGAAAGTCACACAGAGCTAAAATACATTTCTGGTCCAAATAACTTTGATTTACAGAACGATCAAAACCAATGTATAACAAACCAAGAAAGTATACAATTGTTCACATGGAATGACTAAGTAAGAGATGCAAAGAATCTTTAAATTAAAATTTATATTGAAGCTGCTTACACACCAACAACCGGATATCTAATATCAGGCAGAGCTCTGCTGAAGTCAGAAAAGGTCCTCAAGAATAAGAGATTTTTCCTACCCTGCAGCAGTTGATGTTTTTAAAACAACAAACCTAAGTTGCCTGACCGGAGGAGGTATTTTGAGGCGTACCCCAGGAAGTATGAAGACAGCTGAAGGCCAGAAAGGTACTGATTTACTGACCTGAGCAATACAAATTCTGAAGGTTAGTGACAGATATAGAGAACGGGCAAAGAGAAATACAAGTTAATATGCTAAGCTATAAGCTATGAGAGAACACAAGCCTGATGCTAATTATATAATAGTCTCATAGTACAATCACACCTCCAAGGCTGCTTCATGATTCTCCTCTATAAAGCAAGAGGTTCAACCCAAGTCAGTAACAAATGATATAACTTTAATATGAAGTAAAATCTTTCCCTCACCCTCAACTACAAGGTGAGAAGAAATAAGTGAATCTCTGCAAACAAGATGTCCACATTACGAATAAGTACACTATCTAAAATGCCAAACACTGACAAGTCTTCCTTTTTCATGTTCATTGATATACCCTGGTGGGGGCGGGGAAATATTTTCTCTGAAATTCATCAAAACAATAAACCTAAGGTCTTGTGAAGAGGAGAAAAATATTAGAAAATACAAACATTATTTGTTAGGAAGTTCAGTTTAACACCTTTAATGTATGAATGCATCAATCACACACCATTATTACATTTTTTTGTATCATTATTTACCAAACCACTAATTACAAGCATTAATAATAATAGCTAAAAAACCCTGAAATTTCCAAGAACAGGCTTCCTCAGGCAATAGGTAAAGGTCAAATATTAAAGCTCAAATTTTGCTCAAAGCTATGCTCAGGTGATTTAAATATGAACATTAACTAACCATATACTCTCTTAAGGAATCCATGTCTTGAAGACACCACACAATAATGGAAAAACATTTACAGAATAGTAATATTGCAGTAACAGAACAAAATGGCAGGTATAAAATGTCGGAAATTTGAAAATGATTAACTCATCTGCCTAAGCATGCTCACAAGAAACCAGTATACATACCATGCTATTTTATTACGCAGAGAAATAAGGTACTTGTAATGCAAATATTTGCTCCACTGCAACACGCACAATTCAAAGAAAATTCAAAGAAACATTTGCAAAATTAGCAGGACAAAACGTTTTAAACACATTACGATGCTAAACCCATTTAATTCTTGATAACAATAACAATCTTGAAAAATTACCTGCATTGAAATGAGGATCATCTTCCATTGACTGTACTGCCTGCTCTACTGCATCCAGGGCAGTGCCTCCTTGTTTCAAGATCCCATAACCTTGCAGTGCAGCTCTGACAACCCCAGAACGACATCCTTTTTCTTGTTCTTTAAAGATTTGGCCAGCTCCACCGTGCACCACAATGACAGGCTTCATCCTGCCAAATTCCTGCGGAGCCTTTCAGCTGTATAAACAGGTTACTCTTACTTAGCTTGTTTTGGAAGCCAGAGTCTTTAACATTCACTCCCTTCTACATGGAGAAAGCCCTTTAGATGATGTTAACAGATGTACTCAACTTGACTCCCACAATTCGACCTTTCAGGACCCTGAGCACTCATGTGAATGAGCTCCTAGGAGATACTCAAATCCCAGCCAGATGAGGCTCCAAACAACCTGATGCAACCTTGTTGTCAGCCCTGCTTTGAGCAGGGGGCTGCAGCAGGTGACCTCTAAAACAGCCCTTCCAACCAAAAGTATTGTATGATTTTGTGATTTAGCATAAATCCTGTATGGAGATGTAATGACAAGTTATGCAGAAATAAGCACTGGCACCTTGATCCTGCTAACTGCTCTTCATGTTAGATGAGCAGCCCCATTACTCAAACACAACAATTAAAGCCATAGACCAAGAAAAGCTTGGTCGAGCCCAAGCCCAGCCCAGCTGTTAACCCAGCCCGACTTAACAGCTTAACTAACTATATCGCTCAGACTTCAAACCTTGACCCCTCACAACACTTTGTGCAGAAAAACAAGACGTTGAAACCAGGAAGTTAACAGCTTGTTTGTCTTGCTCGTGGCCACGCGCTCCCATGCATCCTTCAGGCTTTTGCTTCCACGCAGAGGCCCAGGAGAAGTGACTTGATCTCCCACCTAAACCTAGGGCACCCGGGGGGGGAACTCTTCACAGGAAAAACGGTTTCGCAGGGCCAGGTGTTTTCACGCCGGGGCACCACGGTGCGGGACGGGGCAGATTTGCACCGGACTCCGGGAGAGGCAGGCGCCTCGCACCGCGCTCCCAGCGGGGCGGGG